TCAGCAACATTTCCAGAGAATCCCTTTGAATTTGGTACACGTTCATTTGGACTGACAAATGAACTGATTCTAATTTGTCAAAACTCTAGTTTCATTTTATTACATTGCTAATTTAACAATGGTCACAGTTTCATTTGGGGGAATATGTGTGGGTGTTTAAAGTGAGAAACACAAATTTATGTTCAAATGTAAAATTAAAATAGGTTTTCAGGCTTATTCAGTCATCTAAAACAGTATCTATTTAACATCCTCGGAAGTTAATGGCACAACTAATAACAGCGACAGAGAAAGAAAGTCGTGTTCAAACCAGGTCACTACAACATACTGCACACTGAGGTCATAGAGGTTGAAGAAACGTACACACTCCATATGAAACTTGCATTTGAAATGTGGAACAACTGTGAGCATGTAGCAGCATGAATCTCTGCCTGTCTGACTGCCATCTCTCACTGGATGTCTGCACACCACCTGAAAATTAACCTTGACAAGACCTGAACTACTTTTCCCTCCAGGGAAAGTCCCTCTCACCCGCCACCTGACTATTACCATTGACAACTCCGTGGTAGTCTCCACCCAGACTGCTAGGACACTGGACAGTCAACTCTCCCATACTGCCAACATTAGTGTAACAGCCCGCGTGTGTAGATATATGCTGCACAACATCAGGAGAATATGTCCCCTTCTCATTCAGAAGGTGGCACAGGTTCTGGTCCAGGCTCTGGTCATCTCATGCCTAGACTACTGGCTGGTCTACCCGCTTGTGCTATCTGACCTCTGCAGCTCATCCAGAATGGCAATCGGCAGATGCAGAGCGGAAAATAAAACCCCAAAAAAGGATATATATTTCATTGAAATTATATATGGCACTTATATTGCAGCACTTTGTAGTTTGGCTTTTTGAAGCAAAATGTACTCACTTGATTCTTGTTGTTCTGGGTTTGTTCCCTCATGGTTGATGCACTTATTAAGCTGCTTTGGATAAAAGTCTCAGCTAAATGAAATGTAATGTAATGTTGTTGACAAGTTATCATGAAAAGTTATACTGTAAAGGCAGCTGAACACTAGAGGATAATTGCGGTGGTGTTAGACCCAATTTGCCTCTTCCGACAATCGTGGGGGCGTTACCAACTGGAGGCCACTTGGTGCCGATTATGGGGTTTACGAAGTAATTCTAATGCTACCATTTGAGTGGGAGCCTCCCCTATCTTTAATGTTTGAACATGTTTGTACATGTACATATGTGATATTTACGATGATCGGCTCTGACAGAAGCCATCAGAGCTAGAGAGAGAGAGAGTGAGCTGACCGTGAAGCATGAGCACGATGTTGCATACTTGTACAGCTGTGACTAAAAACAACAATACATTTCCAACTCACCTCCAGATCGCGCTGCAAGATGAATACGCCTTCTTAGCCATGACTACGTCCACAATTTTTTGGGGGGGTTTCGCTGCAAAATAGAACACACAACATCGGTCCTCCACCATGTTTGTTTTTCTTCTAAAGTCACATTTAATCACGCTAGTGTTCCACACCCAGTTCAAAAGGTGGTGGCGGTAATGGGCCGAAAAGTAGTTTGCCAACCAGCATAAAAAGACTGAAAAAGAAGATATTGCAAGTTTTTGTGAGATTTCAAGTCTCTGGAATCACCTCTCTGAAATTGTTTCCTACAAACGTGAATGTGTGTGGTCTTACGTTCTGGCCAAATGGTCCAATTTGTGTGTTCTGAAGATTATAAGATTAAAAATCTATCATTAAGTCTGTGGTCTCCCATGTTTTAAAATCAGTCAAGAGTTGAAAATGCTCCAGTGTGCAGCGACCCTATATCTCAGGTAACTCAGCCACACAATTCAATGGTAGAAAATAAAATGAGTCATGAAGTCGATGATTTATGTGTCTACTGATCTTGATAAAAGCCAGTGTGTCCCGAAAGATTCAAAACCGAATGTGAGGTTGTCACACTTTTAACAGCTTTTGTATCGCTTGTCTAGAATAATTTGATATGCATAGAGAAAAATCCACTTTATATAAAACAAATCCTTTTATTTAGGCCTCAGTTGAACCACAGGATTACTGAAAGTATGAATTATGGAGTCTGGACATAAACTATAGAGTGTAAAAACAGTGTTGACAGGCAGACCAGGAAGGATAATATATTGTTTTATAAACTAAACTGTTTCTTTTTCTGCAAAATTATGTCAACTACATTGTTTGTCGTCTTCCCACTAGTGTGTCTATTGATTTCTTGTTTCTGGGAAAGTTGCCCTGGATCAGATCCCATTTGGATGCTGTTCCTTTACAAGTCGACCACGTCAACAGATTTCCTCCCACACTGTTCGTAAAACTATTGATGGTTACTGTTTACTACATTGTGTAAGAGTGGCCGTTTAACAACACTCTTCTGTTGTTGTATTTTAAGTCTGTGTGGCACGTGCATAGAAAAAATGTAGGGGAGATCAAATCAAGATGAGCCACAAATTATATTTTGGCAGATCCCAAACAGTAATTATTGTCAGCTCAAAAGGTCTAAACTTGATTTATCACAACTGTTTCTGCCCAAGTGTGTACATGTCCCACCGTCCAGGTTCAATCACAATGTAGGTAGTTCAATCAAACTAAACAACACAGCAACAAGGAAACTAATTAAACATTACTTAACATTCATGTTAATGTTTTATTAACATGAACATAATGTCAATGATGATAGCTGAGTTTGTGCTGAACCAAAGGACGTCATGCATCTAGTGGTGAATTTGCATGTTGCGGCTGAATACCCCAGCCCTCCCCTTCCAAACATGAAAGAGAACCTGTGGTAGCCTTCAGCAGTCATAACAAAACTAAAGGTGTTTAGTTTGTGCAGTTTGGATTGCTGTAGGACCCTCCCCTCATGTAAATGTCAAGTATTTAAATATAAAGGCTCCATTCCAGGGTAAAGAACACAACAATGTGTACAATTTAGATGAAACACTAATGGAAACATCACTAGGAATATTTTATATTTAATTTCTGCCAATAGATTTCTTTCACTTAAAACACACTGGACCTTCAAAAGGTGTCCCAAAAATGTTTTAATTCATCTATACGTACCCTAGAGTATTTCAGTTGCCACAAAGTCATCCATATATTTGCCACAATAAAACTGAGCATCCTGCTGATATCCAGCTGCTTTCTACATGTTCATCTATGACCTCTACCACACTCTTTTCTGCACAAGTTCAGTGGTTTTCGAGTTTGCAAAAACTCTTGCTCAGTGGCACCTCAAGATTAACATAAAGTTTATACCTTTGCCATGCAAACCCAGTAGAAGTCAACCTCATATCAATCCTCATTTTGACTATAGTGAACAACGTGATAATACCTCAATTAAAAAGGAACTTTATAAAAAGGACTGTTTTCTTTTCTCCAAGCTTTCTGTCTCTCACTTGGGGTCTTAATGAGCACAAAGGCTAAGAGGCCTACCTGGGCTGAATCCAACATGGATAAAGTTCTGTTGTGCCCTCAGGCCACGCGTGTGGAGACAGCAGTGGCTGAAAACAGCCGGTGCCTCGTGTAATGTGTTGACTACAAACGAAGCCACCAATCTGAGGATTAAGGCTGGGCTGCTCTCCAGTGACTGACTGAAAACCTGGAGGGAGCAGTCTTTACTATACATTGTAGGAAAGTTGAAAGGAGCCTTTATTTGTCTAATGCTATATATATTTGCTTATTTTTTCACACTTAATCTTACTATAAGGAATAGTAATGAATGTAGGTATTTTAAAAAGCCGCTCATCCCATCTACGTTAAACTTTGCAGGTGTGTTTCTGTAGGCCCAATGAAGTGCAACGGCAAATTTAGACACTTGAGATCATATGTTAAGAACATGAATGCATTTTAAATTAACAGACCAGAAGCCCTGTAGTAGCATGGGCTGGGGCTCATAAAAGTAAATGAAGACATTAATCACAACAATACATTTTCCAGTTCTTGGTTTTGCATACTGAGTTGAACGTCACAAAGCTTTGAGTACATAGAGGAACACCTCTTACTGCAGCAGTGTGTCCAGCATGTCTGTATAAGTCCACAGACCAGTCGTCCACCCACTTACTGAAGGTAACTTTTGCTGTTCAAGAAAGCTGCAATACCATAGGCCAAGCAAATGGCCTCTTCCAAACATAGGCCTGTTGCGAATAGTTGCTGCATGAGTAATATAGTAATATAGTGATGGGTTTTTAGAAGACCTGTCTCTGGGTCAGCTCTAGCTGAAAATGTTTGTGCATGTGAAAGTTGCAACCAAAGATTTTAAGCAAAAGCAAGTAGGAAAGATTATGTGATAAACAGATTTTTGCATTTACCGGGCAGTGAGCTTTCAGAGTAAAACTCTGTTTGAAAAGCTATATGCTTCTGGGGGGCAGAGTGGTGCGTTGGTTAATGCTGTCATTGACTGACAAATGGTTTTTCTGGGGTCTTATTGTGTGGAGTTTGCGTGTTCACCTTCTGTCTGTGTGGAATTTCTGGGTACAGCCTCCTCCCACAGTCATGCAGTTTGGGGTTAGGTTAATTGGAGATTCTAAATTGAGCATGAATGTGAGTGTTAAGGGTTGCATGTCTCTATATGATGGCCCTATCATATGGTGATGATCTGTCCAGGGTGTACCACACCACTGACCCAATGTCAGCTAGGGTTAGCTCTAGCTCCCGACAAGAATCGAGGATAAGCAGTGTAAATGGATGGATGCACTATCAATGGGCTCTCATTCCTTTTATTCTGACCAACTGTGCATTTTTCTTCTCTTCCCTGCACACATCAAAACATGTGGCAACATTGTTTGTGATACATAGTTTGGTTCCCTAACACATCACAAAACTGAAAATCAGTAAACAAGTGTTAAAGTAAACCAGTAGGGATTGTGTGCGCTTACAAGTGTGCACTCGTACAAGCCGACTTGGCGTTCTGTTTTTCTAACCTACATATTTTTCTGTTGATTTTGTCTTGGTCCCCAACCACCTGTCTCCTCCAGAGCTGCGTGTATGGTGAGAACAGGACGTCCATCCAGTGCACCACGCCCTCTCTAGCTAAGCTCGCCCTGCAGCCGCCGGTGGTCACCAAGGTGGCGTTCGTCTTGGACGGCTACTCCACGGACCAGTGGGACTTGATCTATGTGGAAGACCCCCTTTTCCAGGGCCCCAAGCTCACCTCCAAAGACAACAAGAGCATAGTGGAGCTCAAGGTGAGTACAGTTGAAAACCTCATGACAGGTAGTTGTTGCCCCGATTTCTCTTTTCACTCACATCAATGTTTGATGCTGCAGAACTAGCAAAGATCAGCTACAGCAGTACTATAAATGTTGCTCAAGGGAATTGCAGCAGGGCAGACACCTGCAGAAACTTTAATTATGCAGTTTAAGGATTTTAAAAGAAGTTAGAAAACTCTTTTGATGTGCAGTAGCAAATTTCAAACGCTTAAGGTTTGCTTCATGGAACAACATGGGCCAGATAAGAGCTGAACCGTATAGTATCTGGAACTAAAGTACCCTGCATCACTCTGCAGACCCTTACAAATATGCAAAACTGCTGCAGAGTGATGCTCATAGTGTTATATGTATGTAAAGATCCACTGTGTAGGATCAGTCAATCAATAAGATTTAATTTTATAGCCCGTATTCACAAATCACAATTTGTTTCATAGGGCTTCAACACGAGTGAGGGAAAACTACCAAAAATAAACAGGGGAGAAAGAGCGTAGAAACCTCAGAGAGAGCCACATGTGAGGAATCTCTCCCTGTTCTTTCAGGTATAATGGTGCCATATTATTAGGGCCTTGTAGATGAGGAGGAGAATTTTATTCTAAATTTAACTGGAGGCCAGTGTAGTGAAGCTCATACAGGAGAAATGTGGTCTCTTGTCCTGGTTCTTGTCAGGACACGTGCTGCAGCATTATGGACAACCGTCAGAGTCGTTTACGACTTACTGCTGGAGCCTGATAATAAGGAATAACTATAATCAAGTCTGGATGTGACAAAGGAATGGACAAGTTTTTCTGCATCTTTTTGAGAAAGGACACGTCTGATTTTTGAGATATTATGTAAGTGAAGGAAGGTGGTCCTAGGAATTTGTTTTTAAGTGAGAATCAAAGGACAAATTGTGGTACATGTCCTGATGATAATGATAGATTGATTTTATTCAGTAAAGTACTATTAAAGGTAGTAATCTAGTGTTGAGGGGCCTTTTCTGGGGTAAAGAAAACTACAGTTCATACAATTTAGATGAAATGAACTAGTGAAAACATCGTGAGGATTATTCTACATTAAATTTCTGCCAATAGATCCCTTCACCTAAATCTTACACACTGGACCTTTAATTAGGGGCAGAATTTCATTAAGTAACTTTGTAGCAAAGGATCTAAGATACAAGTTGCGGGTTTAGACTATGCAATTCACAGGATTTATCCTTTGAGGTTTTTGTTACCTCAAAATAATTATATTTGTAGCCGGTCCTCTTCTGGTCTATGTTGCACTGCCATGTTTCTGCAGTAGCCCAGTTGTTCTGCTGGTCGTTGCACTTTGCCTCCCAATCCGAACATTCACACGTGCAGCAATCCGCAGTCCAGGTCAAGTTGGGAAGGAAACAATACTGAAAGAAAAACAGGAAGTGGAGTCTGTTTCCCATCGTTTACACCCCCACCCCGACATCCCCATCCCTCCTCCCCTGCTCTGCCTCTCTGTGTATTCTCTCTCTTGACTTGTATTGTTCTGGCTACCAGGGTCAAAGCTCTTGACATATTAATGCTGCTTTTCAAACAAGCCACCACAGTCCCAAGAGTCTGTTTTAAGAACACAATGAAATACATATTTCTCCTCTTTTCTTTCTTTCTTTACTTTGTCGACTGCAGCTCGATGGTTTATGGCAGCTGTGCCTCTCACTGGGGATCTATTTTTTTCCCTCCTTCTTCTTCTTTCTCTCCTTTCCCAGACATGACCTTGGTTCTAATGCTAAATCCACCAAACTAACCTCTATCCCCCCTTCATATCCTCCCCCCAGCCCCGACAAACCCCCAGTTTTTATCCATGGGGGGATGGTACCAGGCATCGCACCAAAACAGGCCACAATTAATGGCATCTGATAACCCTGCTCTGCTCTGGCCTCGACTAAAGGGCAAAATGCTGGGTTCAGATTCAGCCCCACCTGATAACTGCAGGCCCAAAATGACTGTCAATAGCAGAGAAACAAAGGTTCAATTATCTCTGACTGACATATTCACACAAGGAACCACCAAGCTATTGACTGTGGCTTGTGGCCAAATTCTTATCGCTGCTGATCAATTAATGCTGAGCGTGAGAAACGCCTCACTTCATTATCATGGTAACCTTCTTTTTAGATTGACTGGTTTTGCTGTCAAGACTTTGTATAACTTTAATAACTAGTCTGTGTATTTTGTACAGCGTTGTCACACCCACAGTCTGGACACGCAGTGCAAGGATTGTGTTGTAGGATCCCATTAGCGTGTTTGTGTGAGGTTTAATTGCAAGCAAGAGGGAGACTTAGTGCGTTTGTCTTGCTGTGTTTGTAGATTGCCAACGTATTGTATGTGTGTGTGTGAGCGCGTGTGTGTGCGTGCGTGTGTGTCACTGGGGGAGAGAGAGTGTGAAGGAACAGGTGCGTGCCTCTACTCTGTGTCAAATTGGAAAATCCCAAGCTGTCACGCAAGGAATGTGATCATTCTCGATATTACCTCCTGCTGCAAGTGTGTTAATGTGTGTGTGTGTGTGTGAGAGAGAGAGTGAAAGAGTGAAAGAAACAAAAATAAGTGAGAAGAGAAAGAGGGTGATCGAGCGGGTCTCAGAGTTAATGGAGCAGACTGCGTTGTTCTTCCACAGATTCCCGACAAACTACACACACTCACTAACAGTTACACACACACACACACTCAGTGATGAGGACAATAGCTGTGTGTGTTTCCTGTCAGACCTCTTTGTTGTTCGTCTCACTGAGAGTCACAAGAACTCAGCACCGACAAGTTCACTTTACACTCGCTGTTCTCCAGTCACCATGAATCATGATGAACTCCACCGAGAACAGAGACTTCACCTTCAACCTGATTCACTTCACTGAGGATACGTCTGCACCAGATTTGAAGCAAAAATCAAAAGCCAGACTTAAATGTTACACTCTGTTACCATGCAGGAAGAAAATTATGACATTTCAGCTGTTGCATGATAGTTCAACTGTTATCTGGTGATGTGCAAATACTTCTTTAATCAGGCACTCTACTTTTTGAAGGTCACATAATTGAAACTTCATATTCAGTAACTAGAATTGCACTTATTGAAATCAGTCCCCTCAATGTGCCAGATAGTTTTCCATCAATATCCATTTATTTTTAATTATTCTCTAAAATTATTGGAAAAGGCCCTGATCCGGATTATGACACTGTTTGTCCTTGTGTTGTGTTCACCACCAGGTTTCGTGGAAACTTAAACGATGATGATGGAAAAAAGAAACCATTCAAATTCCTGTATTAAATGCAGATTACCATGGTCACGGCCAGAGCTTTGACACTTTGAAGCCCTTCTATAGGTCACTATCACAGTCACAGTTAATTGAGTGAGCACCAAAAAATCTGTGTGACAACAGACTTTCATTTGTTCAATGAGATGTTTTGTTAAGCATTCTTAAATAGTTTCTAAACCTTTTACCATGTGAGAGCAATGCCCTTTGACCTTTAACAGTAATCGCTCCCTGCATAGCTGGTATTTTGCAGCTACTGCGTTGATCTCACGTCATGTTTCTTGTTTCTCTCTCAACCTGTTTCCTCTTCCTTTTCCTCTCCTCTTCCCTTTTGCTGTATTTCCCACAAACTTCCTGCCTCTTCCGCCCCTTATTCTCTCCACCTCACCTTCTCTCTCTCTTTCCTCCCACATTTCCTCCAATGCAGGGCGATCGGATGGACAGGGAGGCGATGAAGTGTCAGGTCCTGACTGTTTCCAATCACAGCTGTGAGACTCTGACTCTGGTGGGAAACACTCTGGAGTGCACCGTTCCCACCGAGCTGCAGAGCGCCACTGCAAAAGAGCTGCAGGTGGAGGTGAGGCACACAGATGTTGCAGTCAGAGGAAAACACATCTCGTTCTTCAGCAGCACATTGTGGACAGTTTTCAAACCTTTCAGGCCTTTTATTTTCTAGGTTCTAGTTAACATGCACTTTGACACATTCGCATGAACATATTCACACGTACACATGACACAGCCATACAGAGAGGTTCAGAGACAGGTGTGCAGCTCAGCACACATACTGTGCACCGCCTCTTCAACAGTTGGTCAACAAAGCACTTTCTTTAATTATGACTGCCTTGTTGTCTGAAGTGACACCCAGGTCACCACACTTTTACATCCACCCACTCACACACACACACACACACACACACACACTCCTTACTCCTCTCAATAGACACCTTGTTCAGGCTCTGTATGTTGACAGGAGAGGCGCGTCAGAGTGTTTGAAGTGGTGTTTGGGTGACAGTGCAGGGTGTGTGTATGTTTGTGTGTGTGCGTGTCTTTCTTTAGGTATGAAGGCCAATTCTGGTTCAATACCATCATTGTAGGGACAAATTTGGATGTGAGGACATGCAGGCTGGTGCTCACAGATTAAAAGGGTTGTTTGAGGGTTAAGATTTAGGCTCAATGCCATTTCACCTCTTCTCCCTACCCCTTAGTCCTACTCCTGCTTTTTGTCCTGAGCATTTCCTTTGATTCAGCTGCATAAGCATAGATGTTATATGGATATTATTGGTTTGTCAATTTAGTAACTGCAAGTAGTAGCATTGGCTAATTTAAAGGTACAGTGTGTACCTTTAATACCTGTGATATCGACATCATGGCATCGACATGAAGCAAGATTCGCTCTCCACTATAATTAGGCTCCTCCTACAGGTGTGATACGAAATTCCCTGTTGTAAACGAGTGTATACAAGTCTGAGCTTCCCCATGTACACTGCTGTACACAATGACATAAGCAGGAGAACCTCCAGTTCTATACAAAAATTATGATTTTGAAGCTGTTATTTTTAGGTATTAAAACTACCTAGTGCTGTTTTAAAATTTTGTTCCCCACAACTTTATGCAAAAGAAGTCTGGGAACTCAGTTTTCTTTTTTCATGTTCTTGAAACAAGAACAAGTGTGGAAAAAAATCTGCCAACATGCCGGCATCGATCTAACCCTCATCCAATAGAAATGAGATCGGTTTAAGCCAGTGCAGACATCTGCGTCACCCTGTCTCTTACTCACTATTTCATAAAAAGTACTTGAATGCTCAATAAAAGGTCAGGGGCGCTGGCAGCAGATTTAACACCTATAACCCCAGTTCTGTGACCACAAATATGAGCCAGGATAGAAGAGAGGTTTGAATGCTCTGTATCACACATACACAGAAGAGATCCATTAAGCCGCAGCTAATACATTTATATGAAAATTCCCCTTTGTTTATAATAAGGGGCTCATAGAAGGGATTTCAGCAATAAAAGGTTTCAAATTACATCACAGCACCTGCTCCTGAGGAGGGAGAGGCCTGTCTGCCACACAGAAATAACAAAACAGTGATGATAGATGGGCAAAGGATGTTCGAACTTTAGTTAATATCTTTAAATTTCACTTTATTTGATGCACAGGTTGATAATTAACAATTAATAAAACAAAGTGTCGACAAACTTTGTTGTGTGAGCTCTCAGAGGACAGTGACAGGATCATTCTGCCTCATTGAACTCCTCATCATGTGCTCTGGGAAGTTCACGGAAAGCAGCACATTCCTTCAGCGTTCCAGATCATTGGCAGGAAACTTCAATAACTCTCCTGCTCTAATGCAGTCCCCTTATAAAAAACAGTAAATACATCTCAGGGAGAATTTATTATGCAGTGTGTCGAGTGAAGGGTCTTACCATCCAGCTGTCTCGTCGCTTGAATAAAAGTCAAGCATCCTGAGTCGTGAGAAGAGGAAAAATGTCACAAACCCAACACACAACATGTCTGCAAGTTAATGTGAAAGACATTTGAATAGAGACGGATCTGTTAGATGAACTCCTGTATGACGTGTGTGAGGGCCACTTAAAGGGACTAAAATCAGTGATAAAAAGAATATTATATATAATGTAAAATAATAAAGTCGTAATATTAAGGGGTTAGGGTTAGTTTTAATAGAATAAGGTCATAGTTTTAGGCCATGTGTCATTTTTGCGGGGGAATATAGGAAAAGCTGATCAGGCATTAATATTCTTGCTTTAAAATAAGGAATGTGGAGCTTCTTGCTAAGTTATAGTTTAGTATGTATCATAATTCTTTATGTTTTGGCTCATCAGCACCACATCATCATAAGTATCAGCACTTTGGAAATAAACTGTGAATCCTGAAAAAAAGAACCACGCAGACTTCAGGAAATTGCCTCTTTTGTGGAAGAGGAAGGGATTTCATCTTCTCTCAAGAATCACTGAGATTGGCTCAAGCTGTTGGCTCCAGAGGAGTGGAACTGCAGTGAGCAGGAGTTCTCCCTTACCCCCGAAAAAATGATATTATGACTTTTTCTTCTTAGATTATAACTTTATTCTCCTTGTGTTACTACATGTTCTTCTCAATTCTCATAATATCCCAGCATTCTTCTCAGATGGCTCTAATACTGCAGTGACATTCATCAGACTAGATGATGATATCAGTCATTACATTCACTTAAAGACTGGGTTAGTAGAAATGTGAAGCAGTTTCCTCAGCTGATGTACAACTATGACCCTGTGAGGTCACTGTGAGCTGTGATTACAGGTGCAACAATGCAGTAAATACTTTATTCTGTCCTATTGTTATCAACCTTAGGCCAAAAAAGGTTTAACCACATGTAGGGTTGCAAAGGAATACTATTATAGATCAAATATATTTACCCCATAATATTATCAAAACTTACTTGACTTTAGTCCTCGGGCTCAAATGTTTGTGTGGCTTCAATAGTCTTGAAATCAGATGTGCATGTGATGGAGGAATGCACAGTGCATGTAGGGGGTGGGGCCTCGATAGCCCTGCAGTAAGCAGTGTGCTGTGTGCATGTGATTGAGGAGTGTACGTGAAGTAAATCTGGTTGTTTTAGCCGAGATTATGCTACAATATATTTTCCACAACTATATTTAAGTTCCCTGTTGAGGGCCAACCTCCAATTTTGTAAATTTCAGATTTATTCCCGTTAATTCCCATAGAAAGTTTCCAACTTTGAAAATTCCTGAAATTTTGCAACCCTAACCAAATGTTTCTGGCTCTGTTTGGTTTATTTTCATTATTTCCTCGAGTTGACGATGATGCCAACACGTACAAATCTAAACCGCATATCAACACATCCCCAGCAGCTAAATTACATCTGAGAGCATGATATATGTCAGTGAACATCAACAGTGAATAACAGGGTTTGTTGTCAGAGAGAAGCGAGGGTTTCAGGAGAAACTATTTCAGACAGTTATACAGAGATACGAACATCATTGAAGAGGTACAACATCCTATTCATACTTTAGAATGTGACTACAAGACTGTTCATGAGCAGACCGATCATTCTACACTGACTATTGACAAGATACAATCCTCAGCGACCCATCATTTCCTCAAGTCCTGGCTCAGTGTCAAAGTGATGTCAGGAGACATTACTTGGAAATGTATGTAGTTAAACTGAAGTAGATCTATTTGAGGCGCATTAAGGGAAAGCAATGTCTGTAGATGAAATGAGGAAGTGATCATTGAACATCACACATTTGTTATATGCACTGGTTAATATCCTATACATAGCTGATTTTCATTTGTTTCTTTTAACAAACAACCATTCAAACACCCTACTGGCTTAGTAGCTTGCATACATATATATATTTATATATGTATATTTACATATATAACCTTTGTGATTCAAGTTAATATCAGATGCTGAGCTTCAGACATCCTCATGTCATCCTTTAAGATAATATCCAGTGGTCGCCTCCTGGCAAAACACACTCGTGCTCCAGACCAGACGATATCAGCCTCATCACTGCTGACTTGTGATCTGCTCTTTAGAAGAAAATCCTTTATCTCTGGCGAGGCTCAGCCAATATCCTTTAGCGCCACTAACCTACACACACACACACTCACACCCACACATAAACACACTCACATTGATATAGCTCCTACCTCCAGACATGCCCACATTGTCAAATTTACACACACACACACACACACACACCAACTATCCCATCTGCAGCAGCAGTAAAAAACCTAATTTCCACTAAACCTAATAATGGTAGAAGCAATATCACTGATGTAATCTGCCCCCAGACTGAGGCAACAGACTGATGCGTGTGTGTGCGCGTGTGTGTGTGTGTGTGTGTGTGTGTGTGTGTGTACTCAAGGCTTTTGTGCATACACCATATGTATGTAATGTATCAGAACATCACTCTTCCCTGAAGAGTACTAAAAAGAAAACAATAGCTCCAGAGTGTTCTGTGATTTATTTTGTGTGCTGTGTTCTGCACAGTTCATCCAGCCAAACACCATTAAGCTGAAAGTGAGCACATTATCTTCCCTTCATTTAAATTCCACTGTGCTGGAGTTTAGAGTTCCCCTTCATAAAGACAACTTCAACTCTACCTTTTTACTCGAGCGTGACATTCTCGTCACATAGAGCAACTCATGTCCAACCCTTACAGTGAAGTAAGCTGATCTCATTTTAGCTACCGACTGGTAACATGACTGCTCACTATGTGGGCTGGTAAATGATGACCCGGCCTCTCATCTGTAGGTGTCCATATAAAATGATGTATTATGTAATGCTTGATATAGTTTATAGTGCATAGACATGGAGTATTGCAGGTGAAATGTACCCAGCTCAGTGTGATCTTCCCAGGCCTGACCTCTGACCTCTCTAAAGGATGTAGGATGGTGTAGTTGTATTCAATTCTTGTTTTTAACATCTACATCGTTCACCCTGTGCCCCTCCACCCCCACCCCTCACCGTTTGACCTTTTTCAGTGGCGTCAGGCGGATTCTATCAGGCACCTGGGCAAGGTGACGCTGGCACAGGAGCAGGACTACACGGGCCTGATCGTGGGCTGTGTCTGTGTCAGCTTGCTGCTGCTGCTGCTGGGGACGCTGCTGATGTGGAGAAGAAACAAACACATCGACGGTAAAAAGCAGTGGTGGGGTCAGAGGGTCAAAGGCCACTTTATGTCTCAGTTTTAATGTTCTATGAAATCAAAGTTGATGTTTTTAGAAGCTATGTTTGTAAAGTATGACATAGTATTAGGGTCACTAAAAGGGGAAAACATAATCTGAGATTTTGAGAATAAGGTCGTAATGTTAAAAAGTTTATGATTTTACAATTGCGAATTATAGACTATATGTCATGTTAGATGGAGAATGTCAAGATCAGCCTGGTATTAAAATGAGGATTGTGGAGAATCTTTTCAAGTTCAACTAAAGTGTAAATGTCACAAATTACAAAACAGTTTCATTATAACAAGTGTCCGGACTTTGATAATATTTTCCGAGAAACTTTGTCTAATCTGAAGGAAGAACCACACAGACGTGGTGGAAGTTTGGTAGTGGTCCACAGTTTATCTGCATGATATCCAAAGGGATTTCATAGTTTCTCAACGTTTGTTGGTAATTTCACAACTTTCGTACTATTAGAATTGTATTCTCATAATCCTGTGACTTTCTTCCCAGTTATGACTATTTTCATAATATTAAGATTTTATTCCCAAAATCTCAGATTTTTTTTGATGACCCCTTTTTCCCAATTTTTAAAGTTCACTGAATGCTAAATATTGAGCAAAGAGCTAGCAGCTGAAAAAGCCAATGTTACAATGGAATGTTTGAAGCATTAAAGATAAAAAATACTTATTATATATAATTAGAGTATTCTCTGCAATCTATAATTTGTACTTAACCTTTATAGAAAGTTAGAGGTAGAAAAGATATGTGTCTCCTGTGCATGTGTATCTGCTGGGTTTTGTTTTGCCTGGTGGGTTTACAGTATGTTTGGGGCGCACTGGTGGAACGCTTTGCCTTTCTTAGTAACTCTCTCTTCTCTCCCCCTACTCTCTATCTTCTATCTCGTCCTTTCTCCCTCACGTCTTTCTTCTCTCCCTTTCTCTCTCACCCTCCCTTCCAAACTCTTCTCATCCATCTCCTGTCTCTGTCGTTCCTTCTTCACCGCTCTTCCTCTTTCCCTCCCTCTCTGTCTCTAGATCTGTCTGAGGTGTGGTATGATGGCCGGGGGCACATCCAGCATCTGGACAGGCTGGCTAACGCAAGGAGCGTCAGCCCCACTAATGAAATGGTCTCCCACGAGTCAGTCGACTATAGAACAACCCTGCTGGAGGGTACGTCAACCACATGAGCCCCTCCCCACCCCCACTTGACATCTTCTTCTCCCCCATCCCACCTCCCTCCCTCACACCTACCTTCTTTGCTCCCTGTGGGGCTGACCACTTTGCTGGCAGCGCATGCCTTATATGTTCTTAACTAACTTATTTTATTTATATTTTGGATCGACTCATAAGCTGCTTTCAGACATGCACTGAGCTCCGCAGATCCTCCATAGAAAGTCAGGAGAAGTCAATGTTAACGAAGCTGGATTCAGCTGGATTCACCGTGAGGTGGGGTTGATGACGCTTCTAACAAGCAGCACATGCAAAAATTAAAGAACTAAAAGAAATCAAATATCTCTGGGTAACTGGTTACTTCCTATCTCTGTCTGCTGCAACCGGCTGCTCCACCTCTCACCTGAATATTGCAGAGAATTTGTTGCTGTTGTGAATGTGCAGAGAACCTTCCGCTGCGTTGTGCATGTGTGAAAGGCAAACTGCGGGTAAACTCCGTGTCCAATCATCCAGATTTCACCTGCAGGTCATTTCTGAAAACAGCTACAGTAAAAAAAATTCCTTGATCTGCCCCCTGATCTCTATCGGTACCAAAAATTAATGGGTTCTTCCCTGATCCATACCACATGACCCTTCCACCAGGTTTCTGGTAATGTGTTGTTTTCATGTCATCTTTAGCTTAAATACAAACAAAAGGACAGGGGTCAAAATATACTTATTTGTGATTTGGTTCATTCTCATAAAAATACAGTAGTGGAGCCGTGGAACCGTGTATGTAAGAAATTATAGAAGTTTACTTAGATGATTTAAAATAAATTTAGGTAATAATGGGTAGTGTTTTGCATTTATGTCAGCTTTTAATTCAGACTCATCGAAACTTCTTCACACGTCTTTGAGGTGATGAGCCTCTGTATTTAATTGTTTTATTTCCTGTTATACTGTATTTTATGTCCTTTTCACGTGTGTAGTCTGTGTTTTCATCACAAGTGAGCTGACAAATCTTTAGGCCAATTTCCTTACTGCCGCCCGGTGTAATCTGAGTCACCTGCGGGGGGGATAAGATCATCGTGGGCAACACAATTTTCTTTCTGCTTGACAGCGACTTGAAAGACCTAAAATCTGAGAAGGTTTCTAATGAGTTGTTGCTTGTCCTTAGGGAGACTCACCATCAGGAGCTGAAGGTCCATGTCTCAGTTTGCCATTTATTTTCTCGTCTGGCTTTTGTTCTGGCTCGAATTTGGATCATTTTGCTTATAGTTCCTTTTTATGCGTATTCCTTTTTCCACTAACGGCATCAGAGGAGAAATCAGAGACTTTGTTTTTCCAGCTCTGCCCGCCTCCATCGTAGTGTCAAGTTGCTCTCTGCCTTTGTAGCAAGCCCTCTGTGATCGTCTGTAGCAGACCTTGACCTCTGGAGGCCTCGCTGATACAGTCACTGACCTTTGACTCCATCTTCTTTGCTTCTCCAGATCAGGGCACCGACAGGCCAGAGACGTGCAGGGCGGCCCCTCCCATCTATGGAGGCAACGGGGAGCTGCTGTCTCCCAGACTGGGGGCACTGGGTGGAGGGATAGGTATTGGGATGGAGGGCGAGCTGGTGTCGCCCCTGCTGATGGCCCCGGTCCACATAGATCCATCCTGTCTCCACCCAGACCTCCTGAAGGAAGTGCAGCACGTGGTGATCGCCAGAGAGCAGCTGCTGCTTCACCTCAACCAAGTCATTGGCAGAGGTCAGTCCCACAATTCTCTTCACTGGTAGATTAGCTCATTTTTAAAATACTGGGTATCTTTATTGTGATGGAGTATTAGGGCAATGTTGAAGAAAAAAATTCTGAGATATCAAGAAAAAGTGTGTCTCTCCAACTCAGCTGATGTCTCAGAACCGATACAGTTTAAACGTAGTTTGTTCTTATAAATCATGTTTCTTTCTTAAATTAGTTGCGGGCATTCATTCATAATTCAGCTTGTCCTAATTCTGCTTGCTCTCTTTGTATCATGTTGACAAACACACACACTGACACACACAGTCTCATCGGACACGTGTGTAAACTCAGACTGGATCACAGAATTTAAAAACTAAGACAATATATGGAGAGCTGGAGGAGATGGCAGGGTTCAGTTTGGCTTAATAAAGTCAGCAGTGCGCAGCGTGAATGATAGAGCGACAGACGATCCAGATATCAATGAAAAGACCCAAATACGATTCCATCCCAAACTTTTATCCATATAAATTGTTAGTCACTATATCCATGATCACTATATCTGGTGTCCTCTGTAATGTTTTCTGTGAAAACAAGTACGAGACTTTCGTCGGGAGGCAGAAGCAGCACGAAATCAGACGGAGGGCGGCTGCCTTACAATTCTCTATGGAGGAAAACCCCTTTGTTATACATTCAAATTCCTATGTCTACGTTAAATTAGTCAGACATTAGACTAATTCTTCAGCATTTTTCTGTCTATTGTTTTCATTGAGTTTTGTCATGATAAACCTTTTCTGCTCTTAATGCTGTCTGCCCACTTCTATTTCCACTCACGCCAAATAAGAGGAAATATAAAATGTGTTATTTCCTATGCAATATTTTGGTCAGGAAGGAGCGACTAGCCGCTAATAAAGCAGATATTTATCGAGATGGAGACATATTTGTATAAAGATGTATAAAGCGCTGTGAAAGCCTGCCTACAGAACTGTGTAATCATTAATCCCATGCAGTGCGAGTGCAGGAACATTAACACAAGACGTTCATGATGCATGAAGATGATTCAGTGACTGATACAAGAATTCTGTGCAATTACAAGCATCATAAATCTTTTTTTTACCACAGCTACAAATGGATGTACATAATCAGAATATAACGTTAAAAGCAAAAGGGATAAAAAATAAATAAGACATGAAAGATGATATTACATATCAGCTTACTTATCTTAGATATAACACGCACTCAAACACGTAGCACATAGCCTGTTATCCTCCATGTATTTCTCCTACTCCACATTGTGCCACAAACCTGGATCCTGCACAGTTGTGAGTTAATTAGATACTAATACTTATTTACACTATGTTGATCTTAAACTATGTTGATCTTAAACATATTCTTGCAATATCGTACTAATATCTGCATTTTTAGGAAAAAAAAACAGATGGATATGAAAACGAAAATTAAAAAAATATCAACACTGTCATATCATTGCTATCAATAAAACTATTGGTGCTACTAAATTCATCAATAAAACCTTCAGTTCACCATTTCGCTTTAAAGTTGTATCCAAGCTACACATCCTCCTCTTTTTTAGTCCATCTGACATTGTGCCCCACAATCTATTTTAGCAACCAGCATCTTAAATGTTCTCATTTTTGACCTGATTTTGTTTCCCCACATACAACTCCTGCTGGGATACTTGAAACTGATGTGGAGTTATACACTTGTCCAGTGCTTTTACATTTAATTTGGCATTCGATTTGGGATTTACGTAAAGCTATAGAAAAGCTAAAGTCGCCCACAAAAAGCTTAATTGCCTGCTTTATCAAACCGTGGAACTGGACTTGCAGACACAAAATCGCCTCACATTGTGGTGTTTAAGTAGGTGGCTCAGACCCACAGATCAAATTCAACATCAAGAGGAGAGAGACCCCAGAAAACAGGCCTCTGCCCCCTCAGCTGAATTATCCCCCATAGAAAAGAGCCTGGATTTCGAAGCAGGATTTTTAAAGTGGCGTAGGATGATTTGTTCACAGCTAGTATTCCCAGGGTCCTTTGTTGGGAGGCGTAATCCAACACCCTCAGCCATCTGCACGGACGTGATAGGAGAACGCCGCACTCATTTTATTCCACCCCTCCCCGTCTGGGGCAAGACCTCGTGTCTTAAAGAAGAGATATAAGTCAATAAAATGCTCAATAACTCAACAGGGTTTGGCATTGGTTATTAGCTTGTGTGGGGTATTAATGAATAAAGAGGCGTACTGGGTTACTTGAGGGGGCTGATTTATTGTGAGGGTGATTGTAACTTGAGAGAATCAGAATTAACCATTATGTTTGTAAAAATCAGCATAACACACTGAGAGGGGTCTGATGTGCTTGTTTTTGCCTGAACCTGCAGTGCTCATTACACGCTGCATACACGACAGGAGATCCTCCCGATGCTTCTGCTCCAAACTTTTCATTATTTTATGTCTAAACAGTGGACGGAAATATTTTAATCGGATTTCTGGAACTGCTGTGATCTTGCAGCCAACAAGCAGGACACATCTTCTTAATCATAGTGACCAAGACATAAATGAAATATGCAGAAAATCTAAAAATGGCCGACAGTGTCTCCCTGCAAGCGAAGTGGATAAGTTAGATGATGCCATACAGTTTATTCCATGTATGAGCAAGATTTAGAAACCGTGGTTTACTCACTGGATCTATGAGTGCAAGAAGCAACAAGACTTGCAGTAAAGGATATGAATCTGTTTTAGGGTTGGTCTCAGTGTACTTGCAGCATCAAAAAAATGTGCATGCTCTATCAATGTTTCTCTGTCATGGCCAAATTAGGTGTTGTTGTTTGTCACAGTCTCCCCAATCGTATTTTATGTCCGTACAACTGTCAGGTTTAAAGCTTGAGCAGGTTTTTTTTATTGGCCTTTCAGTTTGAGAGAGGGACGTACTTATTTCGCCTTCAGATTTCTTTAGGAGTCCCATATGGGAGTGCATGAACCCAGGAAAAGTAACCGCCTCTTGGGGCTCTTTAAGGAGTGTAGCTTACACACCTACAATACGAGCAGGACAATTTCATTTGTCAACACTACACCTGACATAGAAGATAAAATCTGAGAGCATACATATCTCACGCACACAGAAGCAGCGTGGACATGAGGGAAAGAGCTGAAGCTGGAGCAAATATGTCCTACCAACAAAATATCTGAGTTCAAGCTCACAGCTCGAGCACAAGCAGGGCAAAGCCAAGAACAAGCAGAGGCTATTTGAGTGCAAGCGCAGGGCTTTGAATGAAAGCATTACAAAATCTGAGTGTTCAATCAATAAGTCCTGCTCTCAAACTGAAAGACCACACTCTTGAATGGGGGGGGCTCATAGTTTAGGGGACACAGGTAGTGCAGAGGTAAAGTTTCCACTCGACACAACAGAGGAAAGGATTAAATTCCCGGTAATGGCACCTCCATCTTGGCCGTGGTTTCCAAAGAATTCATACGACCATGATTGGTGGATGACAAGTGTATGGATGGAGGTGGGAGCCAGAACTTCCCTCCAGGTTGAAATGCATTACTGACAGCTTAACAGCACTCAGACGTGTCACCTCCACAATGCATGTAAAAAAAAGTTCCAACTGATTATTGCTAACTTACAGTACATGGGCCTGGCTGCCATTGTTCACCTTTGCTTTGCAGCTGCACCTCATTCTCTTTGGGACTGAAAGTGGTGCATCTCACATATCACTGTGTAACATGGACTTGGCCTGTTTTGAGGCGAAATGTTGTTTTGAAACTCTTTACAGGTTTGAACACGAGCTTTATAAACTCTGAATTTTTGATTGCTGACAAATTCTTATTTTAATTCTGGAATCATGTTGTAACCTGCAGGTCACTTCGGTTGTGTTTTCCATGGAACTCTGCTCGAGCCAGACGGGCAGAAGCAGCACTGTGCCGTCAAGTCCCTGAACCGTAAGTACAAATCCCTTTCACTGAATAGAGGGCAGCCAAAGTCTGTGGAAACAAGGGGAGTGCCAGCGTTCCTCTTCATCTACACCCTGTCTCATGTGTCTACATTTCTCCACACAGTCAAGTATGCTGGTGCTATACCCCGTCTAGCAGCCAGGAAAATAAGCTTTGTTTTCCCTCAAGTCGCAAGCAACCACACTTTTCAAATTTAGCCAATAAAGGCCCTTTATTTTAAAACGAAACAGACTGAAACAAAGTAAGCTTAAAAATGATATTAGTCAGACTTCAGGAGGAAAAAGGCCAACATAACAAACAGAGCCAAACTAGAAAATAAAGAAACCAAACAACCACAGCTTACCTACCTACCAACTAAATTAAACAGGAGAGAACAGACATGGCAGTCCATCCCCTCTATTTAATAAGGTTTAAAACTCTGGGTTTAACAATGACTTCGGTGTGTAGCTGGTTGGTGGTTGAAGAGATATGAAACCAAGCCTCCTCTCATCTGCCTGCCAGTGTCGCCATATTGGCGGAATGGAATCTCTGCCACGCAGCCAATCAGTCTCTATGGAGTCTCTAATTACCTAAGCTGCCTGTCTTTGGACAGTGGGAGGAAGCCAAGAACCCAGAGAGATCCCACACAGACACAGGGAGAACATGTAAATTCATCAAAGAAAACCCAGACTAGTCGTCAGGTTCAAACCCAGAACATTTTTGCTACCACAGTGCAAACCACTGCACCACCGTTCCACCCTTTTACTAAAATTGACTCTTTATTTTATAGGAAAAGACTTGATTAATCTAGCATGACAGGAGCACACTAAACACACCCTCTCCTTGTCTAAACATATTCACATCCAGGTTTAATTATTGCATCCTACATCCACTTGTATCACATACTTATTGCATGATATCATGATGCTCCGATAGCATTAGGGAGCTCATCTCATCAGTGTGCCAAATCCTTTTCAGCTTGACACAATGGTGATGAATGAGCATCTGATGGTGAGGACGGCAGTAAGGTCCCCTCTAATCATGTAAACTGTCAGTTGGAGCAGGGAGATTGATGCTGGGACGATATGGAGGGTAGACCCACGCAGTCACAAAGAGCCACCAAGCTCTTTCGGAATGGGATGAGCACTGTCTGCTGGGGCTGAGTCCCCTGGGATTAGAACCTTTTATTAGGTTAAGTGTTTTCAGTGTCATTCTTTTTTGTTTTCCTTTGGCTTAAATTACCCTAATTTAACTATTACTATAGAAAGTAGTTGAAAGGAAAAATGACCAAGGACACATTCTGTCCCTCCTCAATAAAATAAGAGGAGGGAATGTCCATCTTGCTCACTGCAGAAACCTCATTTTCCCCACTAACTTTCAAATCAAGGCTCTGAAAACCAAATGTCACCTCTCTCACTTTCTTTGAGTTCTGTCCTCTTTTAGTTGAAGGCCAATGGCAGGTTCCTTTAGGCCTAAAGAGCTTCCATCTGTAACCAGATTACAGCAGAGTCAGCTGGGCTAAAGTGCAGGGCACCAGAGGCTGGGATGCAATTGGCAAATGGGGATTTGGTGTGGGTCAGGTCTGTGTGAGGGTATTCAGGGAAGGGTTTTTGGTTTCCATCATCATTCTGATTCCCCAAAGATAGCTTATATGAGGAATGACCTTGTCAGTGATGCAAGGACAGTAGTCTGAGCTGTCGTCATTCCTGCCCTCTACTCACTCTGCAATTCTGACTCTTGGTTGGAAACTTTCTACCTGCAAACAATTTTCACAAGCAAAAAATTATGTAATAAATTAGTCTACACAAGAGTTATAGAGACAGGTGTCATGATGATTTAACGATTGACTTCTTAGACTTTTTTTTTTTTACCCCAAGGTATCACAGATCTTGAAGAGGTGTCCCAGTTCCTGAAGGAAGGAATAATCATGAAGGACTTCAGCCACCCCAACGTTCTCTCCCTGCTGGGTATCTGCCTTCCACCCGAGGGTTCGCCATTGGTGGTCCTTCCCTACATGAAGCACGGCGACCTGCGCAACTTCATCCGCGACGAGTCACACGTAAGGACTTACTGGATAGATGCATGTTGTGAATCTCTGCGTACGTTCACACATAATCCAGGGCCTGCACTATGAAGCAAGATTTATGGTTATTGAGATAAGTTCAGATTTAACTCAGACTTTTCAGTCCTACAAAGCTAGTTCAAGTCTTACCGAGGTTAATCATAATGGTATCTTGTGCTGAACCATTGGTCTGGTCCAGATGGAGATAACAGAAGAAAACCTGTCAACGCCCGAACTGCTTGCCAATCAGATCACTGGAGAACCAGAGTCATGGATCTACAGGATCCTGACATGGACAAAAGAGTTGAGGCTACAGTGTAGTGAGAAATCATTAATGTCAGCATATATCTTCATAGATCCATGGAATCATTTTTCTACTCCTGATATTTTACGTGTCCACTCTGGTTTTCAAACAGATCAAGACTTTTTCACAGTATATAAATCTATCATATTTATTATAGCTTGATTTTAATCAACTGTGTTGAACTCACGTCTGCCTCTGCTACCAGTCAAAGCACCCCGAGGTAAAAGATAGTGATTAACTGATCGCTGATGGCCTGTGTTTTCTCCAGAACCCGACAGTGAAAGACCTGATGGGCTTCGGGCTGCAGGTGGCCCGAGGGATGGAGTATCTGGCCAGCAAAAAGTTTGTCCACAGAGACCTCGCCGCCAGAAACTGCATGTGAGTTCACATTGATTCATTTGACATTCCATCAGGTGTGTCTTACAAATAGAACAAACTTAAATATGTCAGGCTAAAATACACTAACATGCATTTGAGAAGGAAGGAGAAGGACACTAAGTCAGAATAGAACCTAGTGCAACAGGTTACGTCTTAGAGAGAATAAGAGTTTGTTATCACACATATAAAACACAGAGTATAATAGAGCTGGAAAAAGTAATTGTTCTTCTTTCTGACAGGTTGGATGAAAGCTACACAGTGAAGGTGGCAGACTTTGGCTTGGCCAGAGACGTCTATGATAAAGAATATTACAGCGTCCACAACAAGAGCGGAGTCAAGCTTCCTGTCAAATGGATGGCACTGGAGAGTCTGCAGACGCACAAGTTCACCACCAAGTCAGACGTGGTGAGAACTCAGTCACATTTGCACTCTAGGAAATTCAGATGGCAAAAATATATTCGACATAACCTCATAAAAGTGTATTGTTATTACAAAGACAATCGTGAGATAGGGAGTTAATTTAATGTTCTTTCTTGCAGTGGTCATTTGGCGTGTTGCTATGGGAACTGATGACCCGTGGAGCGCCCCCATACTCTGATGTGAACTCCTTCGACATCACCGTGTTCCTCCTGCAGGGGCGGAGGCTGCTGCAGCCTGAGTTCTGTCCTGACGCACTGTGAGTGCACACACACACACACACATGCATATATATGTTTTTCACCTCTTTGAGCTGCTGCTCAATAAGTGTGAGTGATATACTGTGGAGGGAAGGAGGAGGGAGATGGAGTGAGAGAGCAGCTGGGAAAAACAGAGAAGGTGAAAGAGCTGTATAAATAATTGACGTCATAAATAATGATCACTCCGGTTTAGACCATCCATCATCTACAGCCAGAGTCTGAAACACACTGCTCAGCCTTCTCAGTCAAGCGTTAGGTCTCATCAGAGCTCCGGGTCAAATAAAATTCATTTTTCCTCCTCAACCGTTAAAGTTTAAAATGCAAATTGATTTTCAACGTAGTATTTCTGCTCTATTTATCTTTTTTTAGTTGCTAAGCACCTGTTGCTGTGGCAGCTGCAACTAAAGTTCACTCATCAAGTGTTGGCAGTGCTGAGCTGACCTTTCTTTTCGTCCTGAATTTTCTGTCTGAGTGTGTTTGTTTTCTTTGGAGCTGCTTACATCAGAGTCTGCCAGGAGAAACCTACTGACAGGCAGTGATAAAGCATCACAGATACAGAGTGATTTGTGCTTGGACTGTTTCAGCTGAACTCACTGGTTCCTCTGAACTGAACTCCAGACACAAGCTTTAGAAAAAGTGTCTGTTGATGAAAAACGGCGACTACCTGGTGCAGCTACAATAAAACAACCTCTCTTTTTGTGACAGTGATGAGTGATGGAAACAAGCAGAACGTTTATTTTTTATGGAAATGTCAGATCAAATCACAGCAGCCGAGTGTTTCAGTGTCAATGAAGCGCACACTTCCACTCACTCAACACAGCAGTATCTGAATTATCCTTATCCATTAAACTCTGGCTCACTGGTGCTGTGAAATGAATGCCAAGTGTGACCTCAGGCTGTACAGATAACATCCTGACGTACACTGCATGTGTGTGTAGTGTGTGTGGAAATGAGCGCGAAGTGGGAGTGTTCAGGTGAGGGGAGTCTGAGGCCCCAAAGTTCCCAAGCTATAAATTAAACAGACATCAGGAGGTGATGCACGTCTGCAAACATTCCCACAATTCCTCATTCCTGATCATTCACAGGGTGTTGTGATGAAAGCAGCCCTGGCAGATACTGTGTATGTGTGGTAATGGGGGCCATCCTTCTTCATTTTTAACAATGATAGAGTCGCCCTGCCAAGTTCGGGGAGAAAAGCAATATCAGATATGTCAGAAGCTGACAGAGTTTTGTTGTAAAATGATAAAAAATGAGGCCAGCTCTGGTGGAAGTCAAACTTATCTTCAAGACCTGTTTAAAACAATTTACAGACCTTTCATTTCAAATACACAAAACCCGTGAGACGGAGGAATCATTTATACCAGGTTTTATGGCTGCTGAGTGATGACGTTAAATGGCCGCATTTGGAACCAAACCCCTCTATAAAAACCTGAAAACTCAATTTGTTTTTTAAAAGTAATGATGAACAACATGTGAAACCACTTCACAAGTGAAAAAGCAAACACAGGTTTGACAGCAGCTCTAAGAAATTAAAGAGTCATAATAGAAGTCAGTGAAAGTCAACATGGAAAAATTCAAAACTAAACACACTTTTGTTTAGCTTACAAAGTTTAAGGAAAATGTCAAGCCACATAATGCTACAATGGCCACAACTAAACACACTTTTAGTTGAAAGATTTTCTGTTGTATGTTCTGGACTTTTACCTTGTGTTTGGATTACTGGATTTGTGTTCTGTTTGGTTATTTGTTGGTTCTTGGAGTTCCTCTTGGAGTTTTATTTTGAAACTCCTTTTCCTCTGGTGAGTGTCTGCACCTGCTCTTTACTTCACCAGTGTTCACTCCTCTCTGCAGCCACCCTTGTGGTTGTGTCTGAAATCACCCACTCATTCACTAACCCCTACGTTTTGCGTCCTACTTGCTGAAACTTGCTGAAAAGAATGCACCCCCAGTGCTTTGATGATGTCTAACAAAAGAATCTATTTGGTGTAGTTACTATTTGTTTATTACTGAAATAAGCAAAACAGATTAGCTGTAGTCAAGCACTGAAGTCCCGTCTGACTTTTGTTCTGTCTCCTCCCTCCTCTCTCCTCCAGCTACACAGTGATGATTGAGTGCTGGCATCCGAAGTCGGAGCGCCGCCCCTCTTTCTCCGAGCTGGTGTCGCGCATATCCGCCATCTTCTCCAGCTTCAGCGGCGAGCACTACGTGTTGCTCAACACCACCTACGTCAACATCGACAAGATGAGCCCATACCCCTCTCTCCTTGCCTCCACCGCCAACTCTTCCACCTCCTCCTCCTTCTCGTCCTCATCCGACGCGACCACCTCCACGTCCCTGCCCTCCCAATCCCTCTTCCTTTGCCACGTGGAGCGGGACTGCTGCACCTGAACGAGGGAACTGGAGGGAGGGAGGGCCGATGGAACAAGACTCAGAAAGGGAGCAGGGAAGAAAGCCAGGTGAGGAGATGAAGAACTACTGTATGTACTTGCAAAACACTGGACACTGTATGCCGAGGGGAAACAGTTTTACGGAGCTTTGACTGTTTGCTCAATGTACATAGATCCTCAACCTTTGACCTTCTCAAACTGACTTTAGCGACAAACCTGTGTGACCTTTAATCGACCCCAGGGAGTGGGAGGTCAGCCTTTCTGCGTCTTCTACAAGACAATTACAAGGCACAGTAACGCCTCCGCCGAAACTTTACAGCGGAGGAGGCCAGTGACACAGGAGCACAACGCCATTCGTCAATCACCCCAAAAAGCCCCACTGACTGCTGTACCCACCCTCACTGACAGAGGGATAGATTTCGTGATTCTGCTCTTGTGCGGGTGGCGTGTGCTTCGATATGCGGATGTGGCTTGGACCTTTTCGCTGTCTGTAATGTGAATGTTCGACAAATGGCCATGTATAGTGTCGTATAAAGGATTTCACACCTCCACACACTATAAACTAGACTGTATGCCACCCTCATACACCTCAGAGACAATGGCGCCTGCTGTGATAGATGTAGCTGCCTCGGGTGAGTAAACTGAGGCAGGCTGCAGATCAATAACAGCAGGAAACAGGGGGATGCACGTGTAGGTGTGAGGTCCGATGTGTAAAAAAAAAAAAAAAAAAAAACTGCTGCCTGCGTGCAGGTCACTGGATGCTTTGTTGGTAATAATTATCTTTGGATAATTAAAAAAAGAAAAATCACTGTCTCACCATGACTCACCAGAATCCCCAGATGTTTCTGAGTGAAAAAGGTTAGAAGCAGCTTTTATTTCCTTTTTGTTTTTAAACCTGAAGCTTTGAGGTTTTCTTGGAAAGAAAGAGAGCAAATGAGAATCATGTTCTTTTTTTTTTCTCACTGTTTCTGTATAACTGACATTGTATTGACGGAGAATTTGCTCTGACTGACAGATTCACTGAGACAAAAGGCTCAGAGCCAGAAGTAGGTTTTATTTCAGGTTTGGTTCATTTAACTGTAAACCTAAAAATCTCTTCAACAGTTATTCCATTACGTACCTTTTGGTCAACATTTCACTAAAGAGCTTGTTATCCCGTGTGTCAAACTTTTACCTCAGAGGTTCCCTGTGGTCCCATGGCTTAAAAAACCAGGTGTGTGTTATTGTGCGACTGTGAGCGACAGCTATGTGTCACTCTATCTTTATGACAACTGTGTGTTATTTCCTTATGAAGAAATACTTTATCATTAAAGACCAAACCAGAGTGTTTGCCAATTTTAGCTTCATAACTACAAAAAATTTGTATTTTCAAAAGCCTGTCATTGAATTTAAAATGTTTGGATTTTAGTACGATATAGAAATTGTTTAACAGATTCTTGAATCTTGTGTAATCCATCACATTTGTTTGTTTGTGGTGTCAGCATTGTGTTTTAATGCAGTTCTATGGATTGGGCCGATTCATGATGATATCGATTATTGACAATTGTAGATTCCAGCTGATATTCACTTTGCATTCTGCTCCTCAGAAGGTCCAATTTTCCAACTTGTTCTGTCTTTGATATGTTCATGTGCTTTGAAGTGGTAAACAATGTGTGTTGTACTTATGTGTTTAGAGCATTTTAACAACCCATTAGCTATGTCCCAATTCAGGGGCCACCTCCTTCACAGGATGACGTCTACAAAGACTGCCTCCTATGTGGGCCGAGTTGGCCGTCAAGGGCAAACCGAAATGAGACAGTCTGGTTTACACAAGATCTGTGTGATCAGCATCACCAGCTTGTTCCATCCTTATTGCTGTTGCCTGGCAATGAATCCGTGGATAGGTTGGCCCGAGAGGGATCCACCCGTTGGAGCCTTCATTGCTCCGGGTTTAAAGGATGCCTTTGTCAGACACATTAAGAGTAGCCTTTGAAATGTGGCAGTCTAGTTGCACTGCTGTGACGCAGTCAGTCTACAATTGGCGTCCAAAGAAAGCAGCCCCTGAATTGAGACACAGCTTTTGACACCTGTTTCCAATATAAGCATAATAACCAATGGCAAAGGATCAGGTGTGACAGGCAAGTAATTAGTGCATGTTAGTCATAGAAGCCTCTTTTTATTGGCTAAACATTGTGGCTACTATTTAGAGCTGATTGTAAAATGATATTAATTAATTTATATGTAATGGTGTCAGCATTTCATGTTCCATATTTTTCCACTAATAATTTACCAAAATAAAATGGTATAAATTGTTATCATTTACACAAAAATTACATAATAGACCAAAGTCTGCCTCCTCCAGCTCATTCTGTGTACATTTGATATATTCTGATGGATTACACAATTCAAGACATTTTCAAGAATCTGTTATGGATTTTCAAATGTACAGAAACAAATATGAAATCAAGGCTTCCTGGAACCAGAGAAAAATGGAAAAAATTAAGTCAACATAATTTGTTGTAAAACACAAACCTCTGGTGCGGTCAGTGCCCCCTTTTCTTTGCTTTGTGTAATAAATGTTGTTTTATTTGAGGGGCTGCTGATAAGACTGGGCCATCGACGGACAGGTATGAATGTTTGCTATGACAAGAAAATTGATGTACTATATTTTTGTATCGGTGATGAACCTTTTTCTTTAAATCTGCTTTACTAAAGTGATCAGTGCCATGAACAATGAACACAGCCACTCACACAATCCTTTTGTCTCTGTGACCAATCTCTGCCATTTTGTAAATAAAAAGGAGGGATCTGTGTGGGTCTGTATGCAGCGTGCTGAGCCGCACAAACGCGTGGCTGTGTGCTCATGTAGCTTCTGCCCATCACTGCCAGATCATTGTGGGAGCAGCGAGGAACTGAACAAACGTGAGCAACGCAACACTCAGAAGACTGCTGTCACTTTGATCATGTGATTCTACAAGACTCACTGTCTGTGCTTAACACTGTCTTGTGTGTGTGTGTGTGTATGATTTATCATCTATTAAAACAATTCTGAAGGTACATGTTCCTATGTAATGTCAAATGGGCTGTCAGTGTAATAAAGCTATGATATCAGAGTTAAGCAGCTTCTGCACATCCTTTGTTAACAAGACAAACAGCTGTAACAGCTGCAATAATGGTTTTTTTTGAATACACGTGTCGAGGCGAACATAAAGCAAGAATGTATGGCACTGTAATTACAGTAAGGAAAACTAATAGCTGCTCATGCACTTTTGTTCCTGCATATGCTGTATACGTTCCATAAGGTGTGTATTGTGTAATAATGTGTAGTTGGACATTCCTCAATGTAAATAGGGATGCAATGACACTTAGACGAGTGGAGGTTGTGCAGGTGTTAGCTGAGCCCTGCACTCCTTAAAAAGAACAGTCATTGAGGCAAAGATGGAAGATTATTTGAACTTGCACCGGATCAACACACTTCATACTTGCACGGCGTGTAGAGCACACAGTCACTGCCTTTTGTGTCTGCTTTTGTTCACTCCATCTTTTGTTCCCATTGGTTGGTGGCGACCCTTGACTCTTCACCTTCACCTCCTCTCCCCTTATTCCGACCCTGTGGTCTAGACTCTCCCCTACCCTCCTGTCTAACTGTGGCTTTCAGGACAGGCCGCCCTTTCACAGTTGTTTGGCAACTCGAGAGTTTTATAAGGTCACACTATAAATGGTCTCTCACTTACAAGAGACACTTTTACTGGGCGTAAGAACACTCAGACTTATACACTATAGTTTAAAACACTGTTGAAGGACCAAATGTAGGCCATTCTTTCAGTGTTTTTTCATGGTGTCTCAATAATACCATATTGTGTCTGAGTCATTTATGTAAAAGGAATAAGAAAAAAAGATGCAGTTATAGAATTAGAACGGTACTGAGCACTCAGCTCTGCCAAGGCCCAGCAGTCTCCTTAAATTCAATCAAGCTGCGCCAAATTGCCCACACTCATAGATATCAGTTTCCTAGATGTGCTTGCCATGAATTATTGCCTGAGAAATCAATGAAAATGTCAAATAACACACAATGTCAAAGAAAATGATAAAATATGTCTTGATCAGCTCCCAGATCTGGAGCCACACCCAAATCTCAATGAGTTCTTTCTTGACCCATACCGTTTCCTTTGAATTTTGTGTTCCAGTACGTTTTGTGTAATTCTGCTCACAAACAAAAGCTGATGAAAACATAACCTCCTTGGTGGAGTTAATTCATGTTCTTATTGGGTGCCATTAAACCAAATGGTAGATTTACACCTTGAAGCATTGATTTGAAATTGCAGGACAGTGGTGTCTGTGGATTATATTCGTTTAGCATAATTTTCCTTTTGTTTTTAATGTTCTGATGAATATCTTTCATTACCTCACTGATGACACAGTGCAAGAGTAAAGACACGCAAGTCCTATAAGACAGTATGCGTAATTTTCCTTTTGCTGTATTGGAACATTTACTGTTCAGTCTAAAACAGTCTAAAACAAATTTTTAATTTGAATTCTTTCCCTCTCTTGATTGAAAATCCAGCAAACATGTCTTGCCTGTGGTCTCAAATCGACACACACACAGACACACACATTACGGATGTTCAACAAACTGGGGTGGAATTTTCCAGCCCATCAGGAGAACATGGAGTTAATGTGAGGTACCTTATCCACTACGCTGCATTGTACTTGTCCTAAGGCTTAAATCATCCCAGTAAAATCTAATTTAATCCCCAGCTAACACGAACATGAGGTATGTCCGTCTTTGTATCTCAGCCTGTGCATCTATAGCTCTCCTGCCACGCCAGGCTTGTCTTGTCTTTCATCCCTCTTCCCTCTCGATTCTTCACTCAGCCGCCTCCAGAGCTACTGGATTGGAGCCCAGTTTGTGCACGTAACAGCTCTGGACCATGCACGGAAGGAATTAAGACACAATTGGAAATTACTTAACACTGTCACAAGTTTAAAAGCAGTACATTTACCCTGTGTTTTTTCTTCAAACGATGCTAATGTGTTATGATGCAGCACAAGATTGACTTCTATGCTGTCTTAGACATTTTCTTTATTAAAATTGTTAAAAAATCCCAAAAAATTAAAGAAACAGCATTGTTTTTTTAAAATACGACTAATATCACATTAAAACTGACAACCTCTCCTCTCTCCTTTCTAATCCCCTCTTAAAGTCTTTAAGTCAACACCAGCAGGCTTAACACACCGCCTCAGTTCTCTACCTGTCTGTGTGTGTTCCTGTCTCCTGCAGTAAATGATACACACCAATAACACGACCACACACATGCTCAAACAGTGGACAGGTGCGACCCTTGATGGTGCCACGGTAAAAAGAAAAACTGGATGCTGATTTTGGACGGGCCTCATCAGGTGAGTCAGCAGGATCAGTATGCCTGTCAGGGCACACACCTCAGGTAGTTCTCACTCATGTGAGCACACGCACATGTACAGTACGTAAATGCATACGTAGAAGTAATAGCCTCTATAAAAAATGTGATAACACCGAGGCCATATCGGTTTGACAGGCGCCTTGTGAATATGTGTGGTTAGAGGGAAAAAAATGTAATGTAAAAACAGCTGGTTGGATAGAAATCCCTGTAAGATTGATGGCACTAGGCAGAAACATATACAGCCACTTAAATTTTCCACTTTGTACTTACACGGACTGCCTTTATCTGAAAGCTATAGGGAAGTCATCACTCTTCATGTTCATATTTGTTGGAAACGTTTTGAAAACTGTGAGAAACACGTCAAAAAAGAAGGAAAAAATGGACTGAGCTTGTTTCTGTCTCTATAAGTGATAGTAAAAGCACTGGATAGCACATATCCAATAACACAATATTTTGAAATCGCACACGCATCTTATACAAGGCTAAATAGAGATGACTCTGATGATGTCATCAGGGTTGTTTCTATTTAATATCAACATCATGGAAAGGCAGAGCAGTGCTCCTCAAATTCTGCCCTTCAATAAATTACATTTTGCTCTATTTCAACTCGCTGTGACATTAAAAAGCTGTGTATGCCTCAATGACTTATCTACCTACTAGTTCCACAAATGTCTTTCTGTCTGTCTGTATGTGGAACGTTATCTGATAAACCGTTCATCTTGTCAGCTTTACACTTGGCATGTGTATTGTAATGGCCCAGGGAAGTGCAATTTGGACACAAGATACATTCAATTTCAATAAGCATAAAATAAACAGGCTGCCTGCGCTCTGTGAGGGCGGGGCAGTGTGCATGTCTCCTTGGGTTTGAAGATTGTGGCGTTTGTTGAACAGACCTCTAATATAGCCAACATGCAATGTATGAAAAAATAACAGCAGTTCAGTAAATCATTCAAACATATGTATAAACCACACATCTAAACAGAGATAAAACTAAATCTATTTCATTTAATTCAAAGCAGTGACTCTTCATTGTAGATAAACCAGGAGGGATGAACACATAGCTTTCTAACTTCACTGCAACATTGTCTGTTTACAAAAAGTTCTGCACAAAATGTCCAGCACACAAACAAGTGAAAGTATATTGTTGAACTGTTTGAGGAGCACTCTCTAATGACGAGGAATAACTCTGAAGTTGCTCTGGAGCATCAACACAGACCAAGAGAACCAAAACGATCCAAACAGGCAGGTTTGAAACAGGGACTGTACTAGTACCTGTGTTTTTATTTGTTATGTTTTTTATCAAATTAATCAATTAAATGGCTGACCCTGTTACAGAATCAAGTGAAGCAAAATTTATTTTTATGAAGGTGTAGAACACTGCACTAGACCTTGGGAAGGCAAGGAAAGACTTTGGACAGAGGTATTTGGTACAGACCCCAAGTTGGTATTTGGAGACACCAGCCTATAGCTACAAAAAAACTATAGCAAAAATACCCCCAGATTCGGCATGGCGGGAGAAGGATAGTGCACCAACAGAATGTGATAAGAAGCTCCAGGTTTGTCTCTGTGGCTGCAAAAAATATCATCTGCAAAGGGCCTAAAAATACACAGAGGAAAGAAGAAGAGCTTGATCGAAAGAGAACAGGGACCTTGCATTGTTAAGAAGTCAATCGAGTCAGTCAAGTGAAGTCCAGCGGCTGCAGTCACAGAACTGAAGACGTCCCTAACATCCGCTGGTGGTTGCTTTCATCTGCTAACATCAACTAGTGGTGGACTAGATAAAGTACATTTTGCTGATCTGTATTTTTGCTTCTGACCACTACTTCTAATGAATTATATTTATATAAGGCCTTTGCCATCTTCACTCAAAGTAAAAGATCTTTGTTGTAGCCCATTTTGAAGTGTGCTTTGTGTTATATTAATGTTTGTGATGAGTTACATTAATTGCGCCTCAATTATGCACCTTAGGGCATAGGTTTATTCATTATAGCCACACGCAGTCACACCTACAGTTCTGGGCAAATGTAATCAGGAGGATTACATTTCACACACTGTTTTTCAACCTTGTCTGCAGCATCTTTTTTTTTCTCTAGCAAATGTATTAAAACATTCATGAGATAATTTTGGGACTTTTTGTAGGTGTTTTCAAATATATCTAAATAAAGTTTTAAAACACAGACAGAAGTTCTCCTCTCTTTTACACCACTCCACGTTAGAAATATTTATTTTCAACCACCGCTCACAGAGCGATCATATATGAACTGAATTCTTACGCATTTATGTTTTTTTTTTCCACCAATTAGTGTTATCAATAGAATCTTATATAATTAAAATTAAAATCAGGAACAGTCGCTGTTGTCAAGCCTACAGAGGAGGGATACACACAAACACACACACAAACAAGTAATCTTATCAGTTTATAACGCAACATGAGCCAGTCAGTGCCGTTCTGACCTGCTGAGTCAAACCACACTCATTAAACCATTAATGAGTTTCTGCCTTAGTGAAATCAGGGAGGTAAATGGCACCGGGTGGAGTAAGAACACACACACACACTCCCATGCCACAAATACCTTCGCTGCCTTCATTAAGATTTCTAATCTGATATCACATCTCACATTATTTAGTTGCTGCTAAATCTTTACCAGGCTGACACTTACAATAGCATAGGGGCTTGTCCTTGTGTTGTTGGCTCCCC